TGAAGAACTTGTATGTACGCGAACTCCGAAAAAGCATTCGAAGACCAAGTAAAGTGTTGTCAAATTTATATCACAATAGAAAAGCAGTTAACAGAAACGTTTCAACAGTCATGTATGCGTATTTTGGAAAGCGAAAACAATTCTTTTCTACATAATACGTCAAGCTTGCATATTTTATGTGACGCTTTATTGTCTATAATGGATTTATTCTACATGACAGCACGCTAATACGAATGGATTACTGGGAGACAATGGCGAGTTTGTCTTTATTTCAATGTTAATTGATGCGTCTGTGTATGAATAAACGAGTAGTTTACTTTCGTATGGAAAAGGTAGTCTATGTGACAGCAAAATGATATGAACGCCATTATTTTCCTTCTCCTTTTCTTTATCTGTACTGCTTCGACAGTCACCACTTCCAAATGTCTCTCCTTCAGAAGCTCTTTGTGTATCAGGAAAATGATATGAAACCGGTATTGCGTAATTTACGTAATTTTTATAATTTACGCCGAAGCATTGTAATTCAAACGCGCTAACCCAATGCTTCCACCAATAGTAAGCATCTGTATTAACACCGCAATATCAAACTAGCAAGTTCATCCATTGTAGTAAAAACGCGCGTTTAATGACACGACGCTAAATGTAGGTTGTGTACAAGTCACGTGATATCTTGTCGCAGTATAACATATAAAGTAAAACTACACAGCATACTTTATTTTGATTTACGTTTTCCTTTTCTGGTTTTGCTTTTTTATTTCGAGTACAAGTTATAAATGTACAGTTAATTAATGTATAAATTGGAATCTTTACATAATATGAAATGAGTCGCATTATTCTACCATCACAATGACTATCTATTTATAAATTACAAATGAATATCATTTACAATGAATAAGTGAATACTTTTACATTCTACGATTTAGATTGGGAATCTTCCTCGGACATTTCCTTGAGTACGTCTACAAAATGATAATATTAATTTATATAAATAACGAATGAATCCTGTGATTAAAAGCGACATTATGCCTTGTATAGTCGTCTTACCATGCCAAAAGTTATTTTGTAAAGAGTTAAGAACTTCCTCAGCGGTCTGATCGTTCATCTCATGATTTGCGTCAAAAGATGCCCATTCAACTGACTCACTATCGCTATACAGAAGATTTTTGAAACTCAGAAATTAATATGATAACGGTGGGAAACCGCAAACGATTCAATACTTACATATCATCGGAAACATAAGAACGTCGTAATTCAGCAGACGCTCTGGTGGAGAGATCCTGATCAGCGTCAAAGACCGGTGAATTGGGCGTGCCCGGACTCATTGGTAGTGTCATCTGACTAGATCTAGCTGAACTTGTATGTATTCTTAATGTCTGCGACGGTTTATCGGAGAGTTCAACAGTAATTTCGGGGACTGTAGGCAGACAGTAAATTGAGTTAATCGTATAATGACAGTATATGTAATATATAGAGTGCTTTACTTACCAGCTTCAATAGTTTCGGTCATTTTTGCCTTCATAATTTGGTGTTTCCGATACCAATAGATAGCTTTCAGTAGAGATTTCACTCGATCTCTATTTACGGCGTCAGCCACTCGCTCCATCTTTTCTTTTCGCTTGAGGAGTTCATCGATTCTGCGAATAAAACATCATCATATTAAATAGTCAGCACACAAACAATTAATAATTTTTTTTTAAAATTCATTTCCACTCACTCTAATGACTGGTCATCATCAACTAGTTTATAGTGTGCCAACATCAATAACATATTCGTAAACGATATGCCTTTCTCATTGTCTCTGCTGTCCCTTTCGACGGACAACAAAGCTTCCTACAATTATAGAAATGAGGAATAGATTATTATCAGTAAGTGCGTCGAATACGTATAATATAATGCTAGAATACATACATTATATAGATGACTATAAGTGCGGCGTCGTTCACGGACTTTGGCCATGTTTATCATTGCAATGTTCTGCTTTAGCTTCCGGATATCGATACGATCGATATTATAGACACCCTTTTGTCTACTACTGCCCCACAAACTCTCGGCTTTGGATCTGTCTATAAGGCTTTTGATTTGATGCTGGTCCTCGTAAATCTTAACCTCAAAAATCCCAGACAGTTTCTGAAATATAAAATTCATGGTTATTATATGCGTTTTCCTTTGTAATGCGCAATAACGTTTTATACTAACCCCAAAAAATTTTGCAAAATCTTGGCTCTTTATATACCCAGTTCTATTCCTGTCTATTTCCGCCCATGCTTTCTTAAACTGACGAATCTGCTCGCGATTGACCAGAGAAAACTCGGCAGCAATTTGATAACAGTATGAAAAGTTATCGATCACGACCACGATAAACATATTAGCGAAAATATACATGGAAAGCACGTTCCATGTGATAAACAGGAAATATGCCCAGGGTTCACTACCACAATCACTTAGTAGGTAAGACTTGTTGTCAACACAGTCGGGGGGTTCGACAGCGAAATCATGCATGATCTGATTCCAGCCCTCTCTGAAATATAACGTCAACATTTTAACGAGAATTTAGTGTGAGATACATACTGTACAGGTTTTTTAAAAAATAAAATCCTTACCCTGTAGACATCCTCACAAGAGTCAACATGGCGTTCCAGAAATTACGGAAATTAACATGGGGACTACCATTCTGACCGAACTTTGTCAAGCCGAATATTTCCATGAACATGATTGCATAAATGCAAAAGATAACAAACCAGACTGCAAACAAGTTGAATATCGATGGCAAGCTCGCGCTATTGATCAAAAATATTTCTTGTTAGTCTCTCATAGACTGCCAACATAATCAAGCCAAACTTGAACAAGGACACCTACGCCATATTTTTAAATAGCTGATTCAAACTATCACTCTTTTGCACAATCTTGAACGCTATGCCAACCAGAAAGAGTTTCTGTAATTGTACAACTGTATCGTCTACCCGAGTTTGGAACGAAAAGGGGATCGTAGTAGTCGCAGCTCCAAAGACTATGAACAGATCGTATAAGTTCCAACGATTGCGACGAAAAGTAGTCCAACCAAAGCCGGCCAGTTTTATGCAAATATCGAGTATGTATATTGCAATGAATACCAAAAACAATATCTCTATTTTTATAAAATAAAAACGCGTTAGTGTGCAGGAAAAAAACTTAATAGCAGGTAATCGCTCGGATGCATACTTCTTAGAGTCTCCAACCAAGGAGGCGCCGCCCGGAATTCGGTCATTAGCGTGATTATATGTAATATATAGGTAATGGTCATGAACTTTGACAACCAGCCCTTTTTCACAATGACTTGGTCGTAACAGAAACCCCTAAGCTTATTCGTAGGACGAATTTTCGGCCGCTTAGACGGTCGAATCTGTTTCAATAATTTCTTTAGATCCATCCATCTCTTCTGATCAGCCGTCAAAAATGCAAATCCTGACCTCGACATAAAGTTCTCAATGATAACGCTGATAAATAGTGTCAACACAAACACAGCACCAGCCATGTTGAATACCATGAAAAATACAGCATTCCATTTCGTTGCATCCTGACGAGGCTGTTGGTTAAGACCGGTGATGCTCATTGTAGAAGCCATTACGTCAATCCATCCTTCTCCAGATACAATTTCAAAAAGAATTAGCAAGCCCGCGCGAAATGTATCAAAACTCCATACATATGGGTTGCTCCATACTCGCGGAGTGAGCATCTGCGTATCTAAATTGTAGGGAGATGTTGAATATTCCCCAAAACAGTCATCTTTGCCTGCAATGTTGTCACCATTGTCGTTGCAATAGAATAATAGACCGGAAAATATATTCTGCCCATAGAGTGCAAACGGTATGATCAATGATATCGACACAAAGGAAGCATCAAAAATACGTGGAGCTCCGGCAATAAGAATAGAATTGAATGTTTCCTTGACACGGCTAGAGAGATTAATTAAGCGTAACGCACGCAAGGCCTTGAACGCACGAATTGCTCTTGAGAGTACTGTTGCTTTCAGTAGAACAGCAAACGTGCTTATGTAGAGCGTGATAAGAACAAAAAAGTCTAGCATGTTCCACACATTAAGCAGATATGCGTTGGGTGTCAATAGAAACCCGTCAGCGATAATCTTGACCAAAAACTCAAAAGTAAATATTCCTGTAAAGACGACATCCGTAATCCAAAACCAAGTCCCAGGCCTGATATAATCGATATAGTATTGTTTCTGGTAGGCTGGATTTGTGATACACGCTACGACTACGCTGGCAATGATACAACTGTAGATAAAACTACTAAATACAAGACTTAGAGTATGCGATTGACGCGTTCCAAACGTGCGTTCACCAAAACTCGGCGGAACGAGAAGCTGGCAGTAATGACGTATACGATTACGAGGTGATATGAACCAGAGTGCTGCATCATAGTTGGGATGAGCTGAGATAAAATCGACCTTTTGAGCGTGACGTTCGTGGATGTCATCACGGGATATCTCAAGTGATTTACCAGGTTCGCTGAAAAAAGAAAAGATATGTTGATAAGAGTTGGAACACGTTTGAAGTTATCGTTATGACCTTGTAAGGTACGTTTCACGTTAATATTAATTCTGCGAATCATACCTTGCCACAATTGTCCCGTTGTTAGTGTCATCAATCGAACTATGTCTTCTGGCCATGTACGCTGTTAGGGGAACGTGTTCTTCATCGTCCTCATCCACTCGGAACCATCTCTTTAACTTTCGCATTACATTGAAGCGACGCTTTATTGGTTCATCTTTAAACTATATAACATAATAAAAAGTCAGTCATCATCAATCACAATGTTAACACGGAGAAAGTTATCAATTACCTTGTTTTGTTTATCCATATCACTGTCGTGCATGAAATCTCGGACTCTACTTTTTTGCGTATGCAGAATCAATCCTGACGGTATGCTTGCTACAGCCAACGTTTTTGGTTTCGCTTTGAAAAAGCGATATGGGTTCCACTTGTTTATCACAGTCTCCGTCTTCACTATTGGATCGGCTTTCCGAATAAATGCTCGTAATTGGCGTTTACGTTTCTCTTCTTCAGCAATTTCAAAATTTTCTTGGACAACAGCAATGAACATGTTAAGAAGCACGACTACAAGTGTATTTTTAAGGTCAGTATATACCCTGCATATGCACATTATTACGCGTGTTCCGTGAATACTTACAATTTGACAAGCTAACCCATACTATTAGAAAAATGGCAACTGCAGCAGCCGAAATCGTCCGATTCTCGTATTGCATGGCATTGTACAAAACTGTCGTCCAATTCTCTCCAGAAAATAACTTAAAACGGAAAGTCAATTATTGTTGTCAATATGAATTAATGCTGAATAGTAAATTAAAGACTTACTTGATACATTCCGACAAAGCCATTATAAATATCGCTAAATCTAACAAGTATATCGTTTCCGTTTTCATCTTGCGAAGGAATGTTTCCGCGAAGTAATTGTACGCCCTAAGGAAAAAAAAATAATAATTCAAGTACTTTAGCCGATATTCTGCTATTGAACACGAAACGAAACGAAACCTTGACTTACAATAATAGCGGCAATAAAGTCGATCAATACGATAAAGAAGATCAAATTAGCCAAACCGATAGCGCTACCCAACACTTTTGTCTACATTTTGATGAAGAAATGATAAGATTTTGGTTCACGATAATTTACAGCAAGCAATCTTAGATATTACCAATAGAGCTCTCATTCGCGGAATTGCAATGACTATTCTGTAAGCCCTTGCGATCTGAAAAGCTGTCAGATAAGGAAATGCGATAGAGTTCTTTATTAACGGCACCTGAATAAGACAAGTGACAACAGCCAGAGTCAAATCGACAACATTCTTCTTTTTGCGGAAAAACAACCGCCAGTCCGGCAAATAGGCAGCAAATCGGATAATAATTTCGATAGCGAATGCGATTGTAAAGGCCAACTCGGTGTTTGCTAAAAAACACACACAGACACATTATTAACTAAAAGTCTTATTCAAAATAGAACAAAATTAGTGATTTGATTGACTTACATAAAAACCGCTCAGTTTCTGGACTCATATTTGCACTTCGAAATCCCATTATTATTAAATCGACCAAAATTGCCAGAACCCAAACGTATTTTGTCTCTTCAACTATGCGCATCAGCTTATTAACCCTAACAGTCTTCTGGGCCCCCTCTTGTAAGGTCCATTCTTCGTCATCGTCAGCTAAAATAGGCGCAGTTCTAATAAGCGTGATACAAATCGTTAATACTTAATCAAAAACAATCCAAATTGATGAATACTCAAATATTTAAATATTTTTACTTTGAAAGCGTGAAAGCAGAATGAGAGCTGTCTTCACGGATTTTTGCAAACATGGTTGTGACAACAGCTACGAAGAGATTGATCAACCAGAAATTTAGGACAATTACGGCAACAATGAAAAAGAGGCATGACCAGTCGAAATCCGAGTCCATTGTCTGGTACATAATATCTGTCCAATTTTGCACTATATAACAATAAAAATCAATTAATATCGGAGTTCAGTGTGACTGGAGGGCATATTGATGAACCTACCAGATGAAATGACAAATACAATGACCATAGACGTGAATATATTATCGAAGCTGACTGTTCCGTTAGATGGATTTTCTACTTCCTATTAGTTCAGGTGAGTCGTGTGAATAAAATTATCCAAAAATGGGGGGTTTTTTGGTAGCAAATTCCTCTAACCCGCACACACCTTACAAATTTGTCCAGAAGGACATATGAAACCTTTAATGGCTCCTTCGCTGCCATCAAGCCTTATGTAAGGATGTTGTTCACCGTTTTCGTAATACCCTCCACATAATTGATTATCCAGCGTAGAATTTGTATCACTAACAACGCATCTCCTTAACAATGATCCTTTGAAAGACTGAACAGCAATGATACTAAATAAGACGAAAAAAAATCCCACAAAGAATGTGACGTTGACAAGCAAGGGGACACTCTTCTTCAACGATTCTAAGATTGTAGAACTTCCACTCGTAACAGATAAAAGTCTAAGACTTCTTAATGTTGATAGTGCTTTCCATATACGCACATCGTGCACTCCCATTAGATTCAATGTCAAATCAATCCAAAAACTGGTAACAGCCAACAAGTCGATCCTATTAAAGCTATGCCTTAGAAACGCTGCGTTGGATATATAGCGTGTCTCTGTTGTTGACTCGTTAAGCTTATTTGATGATGAATCGGCCGATATCGATTTCGAGCTTTGCTTGGGATTGATTATAAAACCAGAAACAATAACACGAGCAATAATTTCAAACCTAAACACATAATTATAATGTCAGATTGATTGAATTTGTATAAAGAGCCAGAACAATAAAAGCAAAAATTGACAGTTTACGTGAATATAGTAAATATGGCCAACAGCGCATAGTCAATCCATGATTTACCCCATGCAGCTTCTGGAGTCTCAACAGGTGTCCAAGCTTGAATCGATAACAGTATTAGGTTTGTCACTATAAGAAGTAATATTATTGACTCGGTCCATCTGCACGTATACAAAAGGCAGTTAGTTTGTCACCGAAAACCATGATGCTGCATACAGGAACTAGACAGATTATACGTACGGATTAATCAACACTCCATGTAACCACAATCTAATTGAATTTTTAGGACCAAATATATACAAAGATCGATCCTCAAGTCTAATCTCTGGTGATAATGTATATGTTGCCTTTAGCTTATCAGAAACTTTTGTATACAAGTCACTGCTAAAATCACGCATTCCTTCAGCTCCGTTTCGCTTAGCATACAATTCTTCTAAATGTTTTCGACTTGACGTTCGAGGAGGCAATGGAGTCTGCATTGTATCCATCTCCTCCTTCTCCTGTTGCACACGAGGAACATTTGCTATGTTTACAACTCGTGATGACACTCTAGCTAGCATCTGGCTCATTCGATTAAGGCTCCTTGTTTGTTTTAGTGACGCTATTCGCGGATGAAGTCTGTCGAGTGGTTCTTTAGAATCTTTCTTAGACTTTGTACGTGTTTTGGACAACCCTGGAAGTTTATCAACGTCGTCGTCATCGTAATCGTTGTCTTCATCTTTGGTGGAATCAACACCATTTCCAGTAGACGAACTACCCTGCCCTACGTGAGACATTTCCACGACATCGTCTCCAGATGAGTAACTAAGTTGCCGCCGATCAAGAAAAGATGGCACACGGGTCAAGTCTTCGCTCGCATTACGAGATAATCTTTCACCGTCTGAAAACAAAAAATCCGACGAATTCCATGTTCGTATACTTGACATTGATGGACGCTGAGTTGACGCGGGTCTTAATGTTCGACTACGGCCGGTTAATGGAACTCTTTCAGTGGATTCTTCTGAAAAAGTTACTCTTGAAGAAGACATGGGTGAATGTCGGCGGGTTAGACCCGAAGAGTCGAGTAATGTTTCTTGGGTGGGATCATCGGGAAGGGAGTCATTAACGTTGGTGTTATTGATTGATATAAATCTGGAATCGGATTCTAGCTGAGAGCCGTCTCCGTCTTCCATAGGTGTATATTACAATATAGAAATATATATATATATAACGAAGGTTAGAGAATGAAAAAAGCCGTTATCTAGGGTTGCATTAAAAGGCAGTATTAGCAGGTTGCCGATCATTTCTTCTGTACACTATTGAGAGCCGAGATTAGCATTTTGCCACATTTTTGGAAGTTAGGTACAAGTGACCATAATTATTCTGAACCAATCCGTGCCAAACAGTAAAATGTCATTTATGGAGAGTACAATGTCAGACGCCACAAATTAGTAATAATAATAACAACAATAATACTAATATCAACAGATAATACAACGCCACAGCATATTTTCAGGGTACCCTAATAATAAACAGCAAGCGCCACAGGTTTGCATTTGAGATGTAACTAAAACCGTCCAAATAAAGCTAATGCATATGACTGACGGTACATTATTATTATTATTATCTAATTTTAATCTTTGCCAAGCAAATTTGTTGATCGAAAGTATTTGTCAAAGCCATTAATATGAACGAGCATAGTTTACCTGTCCATGCTCTGGTATCGTGAAGTAAAGTTTGCTTGTAGAAGTAAACGCAAATGAAAGGGCGCTCGTGAGTAAATTTGAAACGCGCATCGTCACTTGCCAAAGTTTTGCGTGGTTTATTACGAATTTAAGAGATTCTCACGGGGGGATGAATCGAAATTTTACTTTTGACGTTAGAGTTTGTTGCACTACCTTGTATGTACATACTCTACATATTATATTAGTAAGCTCAGTGGTTCTTACGTTCGATGAGAAGCTAATAAAAATATTTTACATTAAACACTTTAGAATTTAGTTGATATTATCCCAGCTAATACTGTTCAGCGACTGCCTCCAATTCTGTGTAGTCAATAGAAAATCACAACATATGCGGACCGAACATGATTAGCGGACAGCTGCTGTGGAACGGGCAAAAGAACAGCTAAACAGGGCGTCAGAACTGTTATTGCTCCAGGGTAGAGTGTGCATAGTAACATGGTGTTTCTGTACTATGGATTTATTGTTATTACTGATTACATCCGACGGACTGGGTATAACGGTTCAAATCACAGATTTATTATTTTATCGAGAGGATATTACATCATTTATGTCTGTGCCCACAATGGAACGAATTTGGTATTCGCATCTTTCTATGTCTCTTGGATGCTATTCTCATAAGTTGCGATTCGTAGCTGGTTTTCCCAACTGATTACTGACAAAGAATCATCCGAATAAAACAGTAGTATAGCGTCGTACATTAAATTTCAGTTTAATATGATTTTCGAAACTTTTTTTTGCCATAACTTTTGAAAACAGTTCCGTAAATCGTAACATTTGGCACTTTGCTTGGGATGTGCAATTGTTGCGTTATATAAATTCTATATTACAATTAGTATCAGTAAGAAATGATTTAGCGGCGTCGTAATAATTATATTTTAATATCGTATCTATCTCGATACTTGTGTATATGGTTTAAACTGTGCCCGAGACATTCCTACAATCTGATATTCATTAGCCGTTTTAATTTAAAATGTTAACGATGTTGTATTCTTTATAATGAGTAACCGTTTGGTATATAGATTTAACCGGTGAGAAGATTGTAATTGCGTTGTTTCTACATTGTCTGCGTGTATTATGTTTAGTTCATGAATATCTCTACAACCACAAGCGGTGTGTTTGTCAAATTACAAGATCGGGTGTTGTAAATGTCGTATATACGACATAAACGACATTTAAGTTGGTTATTGATCTTTGAATTGTGAAAGATTGTACGTACAACTGGTGGTAAAATGTTATATGCGGATGGATTATGATTATAGTTATGATTGGTGAAAGTTTTAGAAGCGTACCTCTTGTAATTCTATAGTAAAACAGCACTGACTATCAAGAGAGGTTAGACCTCTAAATGTCTGATAAGCATTTGACCATTTTATCCTATCGAGTTCTAATAGAGTGTGCATATAGTCGGGGATTTATAACGTTCTACTCGAACTATATTTAAAAAAGCCATCCAGGAAACTTTAACCTTCGTAAGACATAATCCGGGTTCCGTCTCTCGGTTATTCGGCGTTTCTCATCTGGGATATTCTCCTTTTGTCGAGTACTTGATTTGCGGTGCTCATAAAGCGGCAGACAAGGTATTCTGAATATCACCGTTTACATATTCGTACGAGTCTCACTCGTCCAAAGATTCGAGACCAGCGACCACCAGTTATCGTCGAGAACAGTTTACATCAAAAGATCCCGCTTTTCGTTGTTGACACTGTTGTTCCAGACGTGAAGACCGCTGGGATTGCTGCTGCAGGTCTGCTGCTATTGATCGTGTGGAGTAACATAGGGAGAATGTCGGTGATGCAGTCGTAAGTCGTGATCGTGCTGTATAAAGGCGGAGAGTAGTGTATCTGCGTACGATGTCGTTGATAGACAGAAGAGGGTTCCGAGAAATTTTGCCCCAAACACGTGATTTGCCCCCGCGTTAAAGCCACCAAAAAAGGAAATCTTATGTATAAACTCTAAATTTGCGTCTGGGCCTGTGATCTCCTCGTAGTGTGACTCGGGCGAAATATCGGTAGAAATGGGTTCGTTAACACGCTTTTGTGGTAGGATAGTTGTATGAGATAATTCTTCAACATGATGTCATTTTTATCCAGATCATTGCTTGACCATGGGATGCTGTTCTGGAATTTTTACATCTGGATGATACTTGCTCCAGTGATTTTTAAGATATTATATGCGAGAGATATGAGATTATAATGATGAAGGAGATATTCAGATAAGTAATTTCATACTTGTTGTATACATCTTAACACATTCGTGCTGCGATTGTGATATAAATTTGACAACACTTTACTTGGTCTTCGAATGCTTTTTCGGAGTTCGCGTACATACAAGTTCTTCA